TTCAGATGGAAAGTTTGTGGGTCAGTTTGGTAATAAAAGATTTGGCCCTGGACAGCTTAATGGTCCAATGGGTATAACAACAGACACTGCAGCTACTGGTCTAGTGTATGTTAGTGAATGGGGGAATCATCGTATCTCAGTCTTCACTAGTGATGGTAATTTCGTGAATAAATTTGGAAGCATGGGCCGTAATGTTAATCAGTTTGATACTCCTTATGGATTGGCGTTCAATGAAGATGGGACCTTGTACGTTTGTGATTTTAATAACAAGCGACTTGTTGTTTATTAGATTGTTTTTTAGAATTAAAATTAAAATATTATTATCTTTTTTAATGTAGATTTTAATTTAATAATAATTAAGATTAATTTGTATCTTAAATTATTATCATTATTATTACAATTAAACAAACAACACTTTAACAGTGGAAAGTATACATAAATTTTAATATTTACACAGTTGCATGTACATGTAGTGTACATACATGTAAAGTAATGGGTGTGATTGAAAGCAACATGTACATGTGCACTTGTAAATGTAAAGCAGTGTATTTTGCTGTACAAGTTTTGCTTTCTCAAGCTTGTTCCTAAAAACATAAAAAATATAAAATGCAACGTGGAATTAAAATTTGACCAAATTTGTGTCAGATCACCCACGCATTAGAGTAATTGCAGTACTATAAAATACTGTATAGCGGGAAATTTTTGAGGATAACAAATTTCATGAATTTTGCGGATTTTTTCATGATTCACGAATTTAAATACCTTAAAAATCAATTTAATACGCTACAAGATGGCAGATTAGTGGAAATTTGCGAAAATTAATTCTCCAAACTTCCGGATATGGGTCATTTGTGAAATTTATTATCCTCGAAAAAACCCGCTATACGGTACATACACATGTACATAATGTTTTTATGTACATGTTCATGTAGACTAGTCAGTACTATACACATGAGTGTACACTATCAAAACTTATGAATATCCTTAAAGGACATCAGTAAGGTCATCAGGGCTATCCTTGTTTGCTTGTTCTGCTGCTGCTCTGCTGCTGCTGATCTTGTTCTATCTTCATCACTGTATTTCTTTCTTTTTTTGCTCTGTGCGACTCTTGATTTTCTTGTAATGGCTACCACCAAACCACCTTCATCTTCTTCTCCTGTTCTCAGGCTCAAAATGGAGGAACAGCTCACCTGTCCTGTGTGTCTTGATGACTATACCAACCCTAAGATCCTACCCTGCCATCACTCATTCTGTCAGCACTGTTTGGAGGGATTACCTCTGGATAAGAAGAATCAGACCTATTACCTCTCTTGTCCTACTTGTCGTCAACGTGCAGAGCTACCAGATAAAGGAGTTGGAGCCTTTCCTGTAGCATTCCACCTCAACAATCTCAGAGAGATGCAAGGTTTACTAAACAACAGGTCGTCAACAGTGCCTGCATTTAATCCTCCAGAAGTCACATGTGATGATCATGGTAAGCCTTTGGAGCTATTCTGTGAAACATGTGATACAGCAACCTGTATTACCTGCCAATTTGGTGATCACAAACATCATAAATATGAATTGATTACTGAAAAGTATGATAAACACTGTCAAAAAATAAGAGAATGTTTATTACCAGTTGAGGGAAAGAAGGAAGCACTCAAGAAGGTCCTGTCTGCTCTAGCAAAGAGAGAGGGTGAGATCAGAGAGAGAGGAGAAGGAGTCTTAAAAGAAATACATGAAATGGTAGAGGAAATGATTAGTGTTCTTCATGAGTCAGAGAGGAAACTGACTGAGCAGGCAAGAAAGGTCATAGATGCTAGACTAAAGGTGCTCTTAGAGCAGAAGAAATCAGCAGAAATGAGTTTGAATCTTCTGGAGAATGTTACGAATCATGTGGAAGAGAGTCTGAAGACAGACAGTCCTCAAAAAGTCCTGAAGTCTAAGAAGCAGATGATGGAGCGTATGAGTAATGTCACTTTACCAATCAATTTGGAAGATTTATATCCAAAGGAAAAGGCCGACTTTGAATTGAGTAAAGATATCAAATCGCTGCATCACATTGGAGATATTTTGACCCATTCTTCCACTGCACTACAGCAGTGTAGAGTGAAGAAGGTTGATTGTATCATTCCTACCGACAAAACGCTTTCATTTTCACTATCAATGGAGGCACCAGATTCATCTCTTTTGTCTGTTCCCCTCTCTTCTCTGAGGTGTAGTATAGTACCAGTTGGTAAAGGTGATCAACCCATTCCAGCTACAGTCACTACCACCAGCACTGATCCTGGAATGTATAGGATACAGTGTAACCCTTCAACCACTGGCACTCATATACTAAGAGTTCAAGTAGATGATGTGAAGCTTAAAGCTACCTCACTAGTTATCTGTATCAGTCCTTACATTGATAACATTTCTCCAGTACATGCTATAAATGATGTGAA